GTACTCAGGGCTAACTACAGAATTGCAGCAGTAATCCGAATTGCTCATTTTTAGCATAACTGATCTTAATTTTTAGCGAATATTTTGTCAATGTGGACAAAAATGCCCTTTGCGACTTCTTCTTGAAAGACCAGTTCAATTGCTTTGATACTCGGTAATAATATTAATTATCTTTATTGCGTTCGTATCGCGATTTGGATTTTAAATGAAATGCAACATAGATGTGAAGAAAGACAAACAAATAAAGTGAGAATAAAAAAAAACAAGAAAATAAAAAAAATTACATGCAAATTAAAGTAGAAAAAAAAATATATAATGGTAAAATAAATTGGCCCTTATCTTGAGATAGCTGACTATATAGTTGTTTTCAGTTTTTCTTCTCTTGTTTTGAAACAGTTCTCTTTGTATTTTTGCTATTTGTATTATTTATTTTTTTCATCTTTATTATTTAAAACATGTTTTAGTCTTTTTTTTATTTTTTGCTGAATGTGAGGGTGATAACGGCTGATAACATTTGTTTCTTTCTCTCGCGTAAAGTCACTTGTTAACAGAAAATGTCCTTCGTCCTCTATGGCGTTCTATGGCGTTTTCTTCAGATATATCTGTGCTGTTATATCTCCTATATCTAGGTATGTAGGTATACCTATTCCATATTTGTTCATTTCATGGTGATATCCTCTATTTTTATCAAATATTTTTGTCATTTTTATATATTTGTGGATGTATGTAGATGTGTACCTGTTCCACCAGTATGCAAATTTGAATGTGATAATGAGCACACCTGATAAGGTTTCAGTGGGAATCTGTGCATGTTACTAATTAGTAACACCGTGGAGGTAGAAAAGCTTTTCTACCTCCATGGTAACACTACCCACTCAGAGGCGGCACGAAATTGTGTGTGGGCGCGAGATCTGCTCACCAACCTTGCGCCGATTTTTTAAATATAGACCCTCTGAAACGCTATTTCCTGCATTCTTAAGGCGCAAATTTTGCTGACACGAAGGGTTTCAGCTTGGATTTGGAGGGGCGACGCCCCCAACATTTGTTTCAAGGGCACGACCTTCCCCTTTGCCTCCCCCCGTGCCGCCGCCACTGCTACCCCACTGCCCTAAATGAAATGCCATTCTTTTTTGACAAAAACCATGAATAACATGTCAATTGGCCTATTTTTGTTACTTTCGGGTTCCGTCCACACGTCCCTCAATCGTTATTTCTTGGACACATATGTACCTCTGACCAGGCCGAGGTAGAATGTGACACCTGACCGAGGCCCGAACAAGTTATGAACCGTCCTCGTCTTACGGGAGGCATATAACAACGATTTGATAAGAACGAGGCTATTAGAAATCAAACATTTGAAATCATGATGGGTGTGATCGGTGCAAACTTTGTTCACGTTGTCTTATTTGTACACTTTTTCTTGAATGTTGCAACATAAATCCCCTATAACATTTTGCATGCATTTTCTCTCTCTATGTCTAACCCAGCTCTACTTATCTATAGAAGGACTGCGGTCTACCATAGACCCTCTAAAAGAGGGTCTATGGGTCTAGCTAGCATTTTTGTCTGCCGAACGCCGTCTAGCATTTTCGGAATGAACACCCTTTTGTCAATTGGCTAAAACATACAAATTACTTAGCCAAAACACACACCCCACTTGATTTGATCAAAGAAATTGGAAAATGTTTAATGTCTTTGATTTGATTATAACATAGGCGTACTAGTACGTCCATAATTATAATATATTGTTTTCCCATCAAAGTCTGTTTTACCATGTGTAGGGGCATCCAAATGTGTAAGGCTATTAGAAACCAAAAAAATAAAAGAAAGGGATAGCTATAATTGGATAAATTCGGCATATGAAAACACCAAAATCAATGATTTTTTTCAGTGGCTGTGTGACCTTGTGTCTGACACATTCATATGCAAATGACTAATCTGTGAAACAAACAGGGGCGGAGACAAACCACTCGAATGTTTGGAAACACTCATTAGTGGCGTTCACGTTAGAGATCTCGGCACGTGCTGAGACTCGGGACCGAGTCGGCACGTGCCGAAAATTGTGTGTGAACGGTCGGGACCGAGTCGGCACGTGTGTCAGATAGCTACTGATAACACATCCTAACATTGCTTTGTCTTGAGTTTATCTTTGAAACTTATAGGCACACAGATTAAACCTGTATTGTTGATTTTGGAAAACACCACTGAGGCTGCCTTGCTTCCCTTCAGAAAATATACATTTTAACCAACTTACATGACATTCTATGTTATGTTGACTTTATCATATGAAAGTTTATAGTGCATTTCATCAATTAATAAATAAATGTGAAAATCGTTATTTTCAACACAAATAATAGTCTCGCTACCTTAATATGAGCCATGTTCAGGCTACACCATAGACCTTAACATTTTACGGGCTAAGATTTAAGATTATCTCGTATGTTTGCATATCGGCTATACCGACTTACGTTCTCGTACGGTGTTAGCCACGCGCGGGTTTTAGGCGGCGCGCCAGCAACCCCCTCCCCCTTCAGCCCGCATAGAAAAAATATTGACAAACCCAGCCCACCGGAGCGCGCCCCCTTACCGAATTGCTGGACCCGCCAATGTTACCACAGGCTAAGGAACACTCAAACTTTCTAAGAATATACAAATCTTCAGTCATTTTAACCATGGAAGGTCTGTTGATACCTTCCATGTTTTAACTATGACCACCCAGTACGGTAACCAGGAAAGTATACATGTTTATTCTACAGTTATAAAACAATAACAATGTAAATTCAGAAAGTGCAGATTGCAGAATAACAGGAAGTAGTACAGAGTATGTACGCATTCGCCCAAGTTTTCCTATCACTGGCTAACGTTTTTTGACCTCTTTGTTTGTGATAAGGAGCTGTACACGATAACAACTTTTAGATAACAGGAGCACCTTGCCTCAAAAGAGGGAAGAAAGATCATAATTGGAGCCTGTACTAATTTGGTTTGTAGTTCCATACACTATATTTTCCCGGACATGATTACATGGTTGTTGAATGGCTTTGATATCGATTAAACATATTAAGTAAACACTGACTTACGACTGTAATAACCAAAGTAAACCTGTTGTCTCTTCACTAAAACCGTGCTTACTATTTATTGCTATGCTGTATTTTGAGTTTGCTCGTAAAACATTTCCAAATTTGGGAAATATATCACCGAGTTGACTTGACTACGATGCAATGCACCACGGACGTCACAAACTCGACCTGAAGTACCTATAATTCTCATAAATATTACCCGCCCAACACTTTGTTTTAGATATAAGCTAAAAAGTGTGCCTTGACAACAATCACGTTCTCTTCATCTTTATGAATATTTAGTAGTAGTAGTTGAATCCAACCAATCAACGAGCGCAACGATATCAGATGAAAACATTCCAATGTTGTTCAATCAATTCAATCGTTTGAGTTTGAATTTTGGAATTGATTAATAAAGATGGAGGGTTTGGGTTTGTTGTGCTGAGACTACAGAATTTAGACAAAGAGAAATGATAGATCCACAAAATAAAAATAGTAATTTTGAAATCAGACTCAAAATTGACCAGAACTTAGGTTTTGTCTCGCAAATTTTCATCGCATGACATAGCATACTTTGGCAAAAACTAGGCTAAGTGCACCAATGAATACCTGTGCAGCATGCATTTTCAGAATCAGCACCTTCAAATTGACAAGAAAAAAAAGTATCTTCCAAATTTCCTCACTGGATGATCTCCCCATCTCTCGCGGGAGGTGTTTTACAGTTTTTTACTTTAAACTGAAATCGTGGCTAAACCCACCCGTTGTATAACATGTATTTTCGGAACCACCGCCCCAAAAATTGTAATAATAATCATATTACATAATAATAATAATAATAATTCGCATTATTTTTATTTTTTCTATAAAGGTCAAATAGCGGTGTTGGCGTTGACAGTGTTCCTTTATGTGGACCTTCGTAGATTTTGTGGACAATGAATGCGTTTAAAAACTTGATATGCTCATGCAACTAAGCGATTGAATATTCAATAGGAAGCTGATATTTTAATGGAGCATAAATTCGAATTATCTCTATTCACTTTTTTTTGTATAATTACAGAACCATGTGAATATTTTGGGTTATTATTTAACCAAAAAAAAAAGAACTACGACCCAACTAATACGAGCACACTGATTGCAAATAGCCATAATGGCCCGCAAAATAACTATTCGTACATACCCAAGGACGTCCCTCAAGCTACATTGTACTAATCAAAAATAAATGTCCGCACTAATTACTGTCCGGAATGGGAAAAATAAATGTCCGAGCAAAACAAAAAATGTTCATGTGGTTGTTCTAGGAACACAGGATTTTTTTAGCAAGATTTTTATCCAGGTCACGAATTGGCGAAATTTAAGCCGTGGTCATTACCTACATTATACTTATGGGTGTGATTTGGGCTAATGCACAAGTGCGTTAATATTAACATATATCAAAATCTTTCCGACTGTTTTTGTTTTAAAAATGATAGGTAACAGTCCAGAACAACGAAATATATATATTATTTCAGTGTACATGCAAGTAAGTCGCTCCCACATAGAGTAATTGCAAAGCCGGTACGCGAGGGGGTGCGGATAGGAACGTCGCGTACGAATAGCTCCGATAGTGTATAGTAGTTGTATTGAGCGAACGTTAATCACAACCAATGCTAAAATTCTAAAACATCAAGACCATTAAATGTTAGATAACACTAGGTAAGCATTTCAAAATAAACGAGAATGACTGTGACCTTGTCGGCGGCTAGTTACGGTTTGATATCTTTTCAGTGTGTCCAAGGCCGGTAAAAATAGCAAACATTCTACCGGTTATTAGCAATATTTGTATTAATGAACGGAATACTGTAGTTACAAAGAAGAAAGTCTATATGTAATGATATGATTCGTTTGACAACTTCACGTGAGACCTGATACAAACAAAACTGTGTGTTGTTGTTAGAAACAGTAGCATGGTAATAACTTGGACCATTGTCCTGATGGTGTGGTTGTTACGGTCATAGTACTTAAGTACACTGGACAGTTGACCCTAGCAGCTAACACACAAATTCGATTTCAATGACCTATAAATCTCAGGTTGGGCAGTTTTTACACTGCTTCAAATAAATCGTTGGCAAAATAACTAAAAAGGCTTCGTTTTTTCTGAATCTTATTATAAATAAGCTACTGAACCCAGTAACAATCTAGCACCCAACCAATGCGATATTTGAAAAGCGTTTCTGTCATATCTCAGACTAGTATTACTAGTCTGAGGTCATATTAAGCGTTATTGGTGGGTGAATAGAACGTGGGCAACGAACCTTTATGTGTACGATCGTTGCTATAAAACACGCCGTGTTTTGTCAGGTGTCGCCATGGGAACGAGATAATAAATTTACATGTGAATTGATGTTCAAGAGGAACAGTGAAAGCTGTATGTGTCGAAGCACGTATCGTTACGTTCCCGTCTTCTAGAATTAAGTATAGACACAACAAGACACAGTGGGCCACAGATCCGTCCAGCTAGAAACAACTAAACATTTTCTAGCAAAATGGCAACAACTACGACCGTCGTTGTAACTGAAAAAGAACCCAATTGCTGCCGTGCTGCTATTCCCGCCCTTCACATCGGTGGTGCAGTCACAGCATGTATTTTTAATATTTTTATTCCCGGATTCGGTAAGTAACTTGACTGATTCTGTGCGTTGCTATGCAGTGTATACTATACACTCACATCAAAAATACGCTGAGCAGTCATAAGCTTAAGCCTGGTCAGTATGTATTTAGGTCACTCTATGTGGCAGGTGTACCAACGTACAACTATATTATATTCGAATGGAAACTTTCGCAGTCGTCTCTGTTTGTCTCTCCATTTTGCCCCATGGTCGAGCACATTCCTGTAGTGTGATTCCAAAATTGACCCTTCCTGGTATTTCTTCATTTGTTTGTTTTACACTGACCACACACCGTGCCCGCAGTGCAACAGTCGGGTACAAGGGCAGACAAGCACGTAAAATGGAGGGGATATGGGACTACGAACCACATATTTCACACATCGCCACCTTTATTGTGTCTTTGGTATAAACAATCAACGATTTTGCTTCACGTCAAATCTGTGTTTGCAGCCATATTGTATTTTATCACATTATAATTCATGTCACGTGATACCACCCACTAACGTAATTGTAAAATGTCCGTTCTATTCACACGTTTATGTAATGCCGTAATGTCAGAGACGTGAGCAAGATGACAGATACTTAGAGTAAAACAGCGTTAAAATGGCAATGTGCATACTTTCTTATTTGTGAGCATGTTTAAATAATTGTATTTGATACTGGCTCTTGATAAAAACATTAGTTAGATGAAATAATGAAAAATATATACTATCAGCACAACAAACCCGTTCCCTATAAATATTTATAACTTCACATTTCCAACTGAAACAAGAGGTTTCTGTTTGCTGATTGATTATTATTAGAAAATTGTCAAATGCGCTCGTTGACTGGCTGACTGGATTAATATGTCATTGGAATTTAAAACGAATTTGTTGTGCCGATAGTATTATGTATTGGTCATCGATTCACAGTCAATACTAACAAAAAAACTAGAGGAAGTTATTACAATGTTCATAACACTGTTTCTTAACATTGTTTCTTACTTTTCCAGGCACTGTCCTAGCTGGATTCTTTGTGTTTTGTTGTGGTAACCCTGGGCAACCTGTAGCAGGGAAAGTCGGAACATGTTGTTTAAATTTCTGGATTGGACTGTTACAACTGGTTCTTTCACCCATCTTCTTTATTGGCTGGATCTGGAGCTGGATCTGGGCATGCGCATTCATTGCTATGTCAGGTAAATATACTTTAATAATAGTCTGAAACTTGTTCAAAGTGACATTACATCAATTTAGATAAATTCGACAGGTTGCTTCAATTCAACTTCAATTCTGCCATTATCTTCTGTAGGTCAATAGAAAAGCAATAGAAAATAGAAAAGTAATATTGCAAGCCTGTTAGAGCTAGTAGCAACAAGCTTAAAATATATGATAAACTATTGGATCAAAACAAGTACAATGTACATGTAAATCTAATCCAACTTCGCTGGTATATGACGCCTAAAAAACTATAGTTACAACTCGATAAAAAGGGTAAAAAAATGAATTTGGTAAGTGTATAGAAAACTTGAACTACGAATCTCAGGACGATAAAAGCCGCCTTGAAACTGTAACACGCAAAATAGAACAGTGTTTTGAAATGCATAGTACAGAAATATTACACGATGACAATGAACCATAAAAATAAGTTGCGTACCTAAAAAAATAAAAACCGAATTTGCATTTCAAATATCTCACCACAGAGTTGCTATGACAAAACTTAGAATAAATGCTCACGTGCTTCAAATTGAAGTGGCAGATATAATAATATAAATGCTGAAAATAGAATCCGCCCTGTGCTTTGTAACAAACGGGAAGTTGAGAATGCAAAACATTTCCTTCTTAAGTGTCAACTATATAATAAGGAACATAATTACAAATATTAATTTCAGTAAAGTCAACTCCGAGTCCATGACGGAAGACGAATGTCTAGCAGATCTGCTTAAAAGTAAAAATAACCAAACAATCATTGAACTATCTAAATTCGTCAATACCTATTTCAGAATGAGACAAGACAAAATCATTAAATACCAGCTGCCCCGACCATCCAGCACATAGAGAAATCAAATCGTTTTTTTTCACATTTTTGTTTATTTTGTTTTTATCTTTTCAGCGCTGTTTTTATGTTGTTGTTACTTTATTGTTTTTTTCTCTACCAAGACCCCACATTGGGATGCGATTTTAATAAAAATATTATCATTATTTTACTTTGTTTGTTTTTTCGACAACGCATCTGGTAATATTTGTTATCATACACAATTTTCGGTATTCCAATAACCTAAAATATATTCTTATGTTTCAGCCGATTACCATAACAACAAAACAGAAACAACTGTTATCACAACGTCCGCAGCACCAGCACAACCGACAGTAGTGTACATCGAACACGATGCAAACGCAGGGGACGATGCCTCCTCCAGATCAGCAACAACCACCGCCAGCATACAGTGAAGAACAACAAGCCGTTCCAGGACAGGTTGACGAGAAGAAGGAATAATGCTACTGTCGTCGATATATTTGTGAAAATCTGCAAATTACTCTCTGGACTTTAGAGAAAAAATAATGGATTTTCATTATCCAGTACAATTATTATGAAACTGCTGCAGCCATCTTGTTAATTTTCATTGTAAGAATACATAATACCATATTATTGAGCTTTTAAAAAATGACATATTAAAGATACAATAAGGACGAACTCATTTATTTTCAGTACACACAAAAACTGTTGTTTGATAGTCGACACTGTAGACAAATCTTATTATGATTTATCATAAACTAAAAATGTTGCGGTTACAGGACACACAACAGTATTTGTAGAATTTAAAATCCAAACCACTAATGCTCATGTGCAGTCCTTGCTATTGTTTGTGCCAAAACAACCAGTGCGCATTTACATTAGAGGATTGCATCGTCTCATCGAACAAACACGCTTTGTGTGCCACAGGAACTTAACAGCGTTTGCAGTTTATGATAAATCACAATACAGTATCCAACAACGATATTAAAAAATACACGTCCTTATTGCATATTTACCCGTTTATTTACCCGTGATAAAATGACTAACATTCTGTAAATTTTAGCGTGTTTACATGTATGAATCTTATAAGAGAATAGTTTGATTTAAATATAACTTGCTTTATATTTTGTAGATTTCAACAGCACTTAATATCGAAAATTGTCTTATTTTCGAACCCTGTTCCATACACTCAGCGAGTAAGCCGTTGTATTGCTGATCCCCATTATATAAACATTCCATATATTCCAAATATCACTGTAAATCTAGCCGTCGTTTGCCGTGTCGTTTGGTACACGCATCGTCGGTTAGGGTGGGTCACTGTATTTCTTGCTGTCGTTGGCCGGGTCATTTTCAACTTTATTGAAATGCTTGAGATACTTGATGAACATGTGATTGTGTCAGCGGTGTTTATAACACACCTGTAATTCAACCTCAGCTACTGTATAATGTGTGTCCTACATTTAGGACGCAGTCGCACTCATGCCTTAAATAGGTATATGGCCACATATAGTATATATGGTATAGTAAAACTCATTCCAAATGTTGATATATTTAGTGGGGTGCACAATCTACAGATGGAATGCAATATTTTCTTCCTAACATTTAACAGATATTTTTATATTTTATGTACAATTTTGTTTTGTATATACTGTTGTGTGTTTTTATTTTGAGAAGCATGTAAATGGGACATGATCCCATAGCATTTCCAAATAAATAAATAAATAAATCCAATATGTCCTGATATATTGAATAGAAACACGTGGAATATCTTTGTCAATATCGATAATTTGTTTGATATATATTCGCACCAGCCAACACCAAGAGACTTATTTAAATATATTCAATATTGACGATTTAAATCCTTGCCCATGAAAAAAATTGCATCATGGAAAAGACCACATGGTCCCCTGGATTGACATTATACCTGATAGAAATTCATTTGATTACGAAAATGACAAACCTCGTTTTTTACTTTGAACTTATCGTTGACTAAATGTATACAATCTTTGCTATTCAATGGGATTGTACGACTTTTCCATCGCACTGGTTGGCCTGGGCACTATGTAGAAATTACCTATTGGGAACGTGCCATAGAAATGGGTTATGTTTTTTTGTTGGTATATTTCCTGTCCAAATAGTTATAAATTCAGGGTATGAATATCTACGATATTTGAGCAGTACAGGGAACTTTTTTGAATAAACACTGATCTATATGCAAGACCCAACCCCCGCCCGAATTCCGTTTAAATATCGTTAAATTGTACCGATTACTCCTAGCGACGTCTCTCATGTTGCCCAGGCAGATATACACAGTACAATAGAGGGCGCAACTTCATAAACAACTGCATTCTAGTTTTGCGCAAACAATGGCAGCAGTTGTATTATTTAGTATCAACATGGGTTTAAAAAACATGTACTTTGGTATAAATATGGTTATGAATTTTGTCAAAACATTGGTATAAAAATACACACACTTTTGAAGGCTCAGTGTTGTCCTCTACCCAATTTTAGGTCTGGCGGCCTCCGGAACTTGTTGGATACGTTCTAGCTACAGTACTAGTAGCCGGTCGACGTCAGATATCCTTGTTACGTTACTAATACTTCTAAAACATATCTGAAACAGGTACATGGTGACGATATAGAGGTGAAACTAAAAGTGAAAAATTCCTGGGAAAGAGCACTCTGTGTATTATCCACCCCAATGAAACTTAACATTTCATACAGACCGACCACATGACCACGCTGGTATAGATGTCTGATTAATTTGTCTCTAATTTTTGGCCATTTAATGCTTGGTCTTTTTTCAAGATTTATTTATTGCACTTGCATGTTACGGATTTGATCTATGACCTCTACCTGCTTCTGGCGACAATTCGACGATTTGAGGATCGTTTAAGAGGCTCTAAATCGATTTTACGAATTTTCCACGACGGGTTTCGAAAACTTATACAACCACTAAAGTCAAATTTTCGAACAAAGCTTGGAACTTTGCAATCGCTTCACACAACTTTGTAAAATAATTCTTAACATTATACAATCAGTTCGTGTGACCTGTTTGTTTATATTCTTCTGACGTTTACTCGACTTTTGAGTATTTGCAATCGCTTAACAAAACATTGAACGCTACTTCTCTGTATTATACATTCAGTTCATTTGACTCTGCATATTTGAACTTGCTTCCACTCACTTTTGATTTTGTTTGTGTCTTTTAACTGCGGTGTTCGGTAGGGCATTTGAACATTTGCAATCAATTCTACCAATTTTTCAATCGCTTTTCACAACTTTATGTGCTATTTTGCAATATTATACATTGGGCTCGTACGGCAGTCTGGTAAAGCACATGATCGTTCATTATGGTTTTTATTATTTTTTCTGAATTTTTAACTCCCGGCTTCGGTAGAAAAACAACTTATGAGGTCAAATCTGCAAACAATTCTACCAAGAGTTCAATCGCTTTTCACAACTTCGCACGATCAATTCTTCAAATTACTGCCATCATTGCCAACTACGCGTTTTGGATTTGACCTATGACCCATACCTGCTTCTGATGACAATTTGACGATTATCGTTTACGAGGCCTCTTAACGCTTTTTCGAATTTTCCACGACGGGTTTAGAAAATACAACCACCAATGTCAAATTTTCAAAAAGATTGTCAATACCGACAATGCGCTGGCAGATCGAAATAAAATGTTTGCAGTTCTTTCATTTACAATTGAGAATATCATAGAATTAATTACATACAAATCTCTGACTGACAACCTAGGAAAAGCAAAATGAAGGTCGTATATTTAAATGTCTTCGCCTATTTGCAGACGTGAATGAAGTTGTTGGTCACCTGACAACAATCGATTGTGATGAGTGCAAATGCGACGTATTACCTCCTAAAACAACGTAGCAGGCCATAACCCGTGACGGTGCAGCGACTAACGTATCTAAAGAAGTCTCTGATTGCTGACTGTGACGTCATAAATGATTCGACAGATACACATGCATTGTTATCGACGACAAATACAAAACATACCTTATTAGTAAGTTATTATTAGTATTATCTTGTTGCCAAAGTGGTAATGTCAGTGTTAACTAATGTTTCCCAATTGTGATCAGCTTTGACAACAAGACACCGATAATACCAGTAATCACCGTTTAATACCAAGTGTCGCCACCCGCGCATGCGTCAGATGGCCATAGTGTGTCATTGTTTACAAACAAGCATCTACCCATGCGTTTGCGTTTTGAGCGTGTGTTGTTATCGTCATTTGGGATTCGATTCCTGCGCGTGCACACGACCATTCTGCTTTAAGTTTACGTTTATATTAGTAGGCACTAATGTATGATAAGCTATATCTAAGAAGACATTGGTAAACACCACAAGAAATTGTTTGCCAATGAAAGGCAACAATTTCCAAAGAAATCAATAACCTATTTATATTTACAATCGTTTTCACTAAACATTGGACAATCAGATTGTGGTAAATGTTGATACATCAGAGCAAGTACCTAATGAAATTGCCACTGATTTTATCACTACTAATCAAAACATTATAACTGTAGCATAAACATGTTTGATACAATGTATAACTGTCTGTACTCAACTCATTTACATAAAATGTTACGTTTTGTATGTGTCCCAGTAGTGTGTCCAGACATTCAGAGCATATAACGCGGGAAAGTCGGGAGTACATGTACCGGGACATGTACTAGTAATTTGGTGACAAAATGCAGTCTCATAAATGAGGATTCGATACACAGTTTAGTGTACGACAGAAAATTGTTGAACTTTACTTAAATTGGCTGTCGTGTAGTCAATTTGCACAACAAACTAGGGTGTCAAATAGTACTACGAATAATATATGCACTAAACATATTACTTGCGGTGATGTTTCAGCTGGGAAGCTCGGACGAAAACATGGTAACAGAACATGCTTGACTGATAATATTTTACAGCATATTGAATTTTATAAACTGCGACAGCCTAGTATTTATCGGCGTGAAATTCAGTCAAAGTTTCGCCAAGATAATGTGTGCCACGATGACCCCAGTTCATCCATGGTTTACCGGGGACTAATATTCACCACCTAAACATGACGAGGAAAAAGTTAAAACCTATAATTCAAGGCCGTAGGAACCGTACTGGCCATACCGGCTATGGCCGGACCACTTCTGCACGGCCCCTAGCAGACGTGGTCCTTAGGCCAACGTCAACATACGCCTCGGACCTACGGCCCTCGATGGATGGCCGGACCAAATACTAGTATTTTTTGCTTCCTACGATCTTGTGACTGCTGCAAAGTCAACGACTGAAATTAACGAACAACGAATGCTTGATTTTATCGATAACATTTCTGATTTTAGACCAGAACAGCTGCACAAGTTTGACGAGGCGTCTGTCATTCGTACTACTGGAAACCGGCGTTACGGGCATACAGAAATTGGTAAACCGGCGATAGAAATACAGCGGTTTGCGTCTAATGTTAATTACACAATAAACCTGCTTACAAGTATATTTGGTGTCGAACAATCTGATATCATTGTTGGACCTTCCAATGCTACAGAAATGATGAACTTTTTCTTTGAAGCAGTCAATGTAGAAGACCACGTTGGAAATCGTTGTTTGGCACCGGGATATTGTGTAATCAAGGATACTAGTAATTGTGGTTTTCATCACGCCAGGATTGTCGAACCTAATTTGGTACATTTATTACAACAGCAAGGAGTGCACCTAATTTTTCAACCACCATACAATCTCCAGTATAATATCTCTGAACAATGTTTTTGGTCTATAAAATCGTATTTGGGGGGAAACCAGGAAATTTTCTATAGATTTACTGAGTTTGCTATAGCAGACGCCATTGATCACATCACGCTCGGGGCATGTCAAATTTTTGATAGAGAAAGTGTCATTTGCTTTCCGCCAAAAACTTGTCAATACGAACTGAAATGGAAGTCAACATGTACCAGTATTAAGACAATATATATTCACTTGTATTTCATTTTATATGATTTGCAGACGAATAGCCTGCATTCGCCTTAAAAAAGCAATCTGTTCGCATAGATAGTCAACAAAATTTTGATATGACATGCACATAAACTCGTCTTCTTTAACATAGATGAGAACAATTCTGTCCTCCGTGTAATAAGTAAAATGCAGCTTGAAAAGATTGTCCAAAGAGCATTGTAAATCAGCAATGCTGGTCAGAATTCACACTGTTCACGCTAAAAAAAAACGAAATGTCTTGCGCAAACAATAAAAGAGAGAATGGCGCCTTGGACTCAGACAGGTATACATTGTATCAAACATGTTTATGCTACAGTTATAATGTTTTGATTAGTAGTGATAAAATCAGTGGCAATTTCATTAGGTACTTGCTCTGATGTATCAACATTTACCACAATCTGATTGTCCAATGTTTAGCGAAAACGATTGTAAATGCGTCAATAAAAGTTGGCGAGATTTACAGTATGTCAGAACGTCAGAAAGACTATGGTAATCGACTCCAATGATCGGCTGTGTGCACACTTGGCAATAGACAGGTCACAATCTGTCCAATTACCAGGCTCACGACATTCGTATTTGGGAGAATGGCGCCCTTTCGTAGGAAACTATTCGTTCCGTGTAATTGTTGGTGCACCAAATTTTATTGTATTCACTCAAGATGGCAATACACTTGA